CCTCCCTCCCCCTCTCCCATTTCCTTCCTCTCCCTCTCTCCCCCTCTCTTTCTCATCTGCCTCTCTCACAATCTCTCTTTCTCTCTCACTCTTTCTTTCTCTCTCTCTTCTTTTCTCTCTTTCTCTCTTTCATTCTTTTTTCTCTTGGGTGAAAAACTCCCTAAGTTGTACCTATGTGCATAGGATTGCAGATCTGGGGGCTACCTTGGATAAAAGACTATTTTTCGAACTTTTATTCCTAAATTAGGAATAAAAATGACACAGAACTATGTCTTTTCTCATAACAAAAAAGCAGTATGGCTTTGTCTTGTGGCAGCTATGCCACAATGAAGAGTAATAGAGTCAGCAATGACAATTGAAATTATGTCCCTGGACCCTTTATCATCTCACCATAATTCTACGTAAGAGTTCTGAGCAGAAAACAGTTCTTGGAAATTCTTCTCACTCATTCTCTTTTGTTCTCTCTCTTGTTCTCTCTTCCCTACAATGTGTTTCACCAAATAGGTTTCCCTTTTCCCAGTGGAATGTATGCAGTAATAATTTTCCATTTTATCTTAACAAGCAAATAAACGAACAAAAAAATTTTCAGTGGTTCTTTCATCAAACAATTTGAGAAATCATCCAACACCAATCCCATCTCTTAAATGGTGTCACAATCATATCATGAAGTCTTTTCTACGACTTGCTTCTAAAATACGTTTCAGGAATGAAAAAAGAGAGAGAGATGGAAAATTAGAAGATAAATAATATAAAGCCTAGTCTGGTAGAAAATAAATAAATTTTAAAAGCATTGTGCTTAAGCTTCTTAGGTCATTTTGAGTCATTTGACATGTTCTAAAAGTGATGATTAACTTAGATTTGAACTCCAGAAATATCTGAGACACACCCACAAACCAGGATGGGTGGCAGCACAACCCTTCCTGGCTCTGTCTTTACTGCTTAAAGTTGCAGCTTCATTCTGAAGGAAAATAGTGACTCTCTCCTTGGGTCCTAAGTTCAAGTCAGTACTAAGTGCAGTGTACTTTTTCTCAGGCTTGTCAGGCTCACAATCAATCTTGAGAGTTTGATAGCAAGACTATATATTTTTTGGAGTTTTTCTTGTTTTTACTCATTAATTTTTAAGACTATATTTTTTTCTTGGCACGTCTTTAATATATATTTTGGATGACTGTTTTTATTTTTTTATCTTACTAGCTGCTTTCCATTCCCTCTGATTTTCTATTAGACTTTCCTGTTTGTAACATTGGCCATTATTTATAAAACTATACCATAGCAACTGATAAAAGCACCTTTGTACTAGAGTTTCATATTGTGACCTTCGGTGGTGAGTATTTAATTTGTTGTGTATACTTATGCATATGCATGAATGTATAGACATTCAACACTCTTGTTCTTGGAGAGGAAACATTAATGTTAGTTTGTCCTCATTTTGGGTGTCTACCCGACCTTCCTGATGTGATGCTAAGCTCGAGACAAAGAAGAAAAGTTTAAATCCAAGGGGCAGCTGCGGTTGTTGTCCGAACTATTATTATCAAATATAACAGAAGCAAATGTCTTCAGAATGGTGAAAGGAATATATAGGTACTGGAATATATAGGTTGAATATCTATATATTCAACCAAAATGTTTGTCCAGAAAAACATCAGATTTCAAAATGAAGATGAAATGAAAGTAGTTTTAGAAATGAAATCTCTGAGAAGTCATAAGACAAATGCAATTATATGCCCTAAAACACTAAACACAATTTTCAAATGTCAGTCAGATAACAGGAAACTTGTTCACATAAGAGCATGAGAAATGATAAACATTGAGTTAGTTATTATCATTTAGTTTCTTTTGAAAATAACATTATATTATAATCATGCATATAAATAGTGAATATTTAACAACAGAGTAAAAGAGTCACCTCAAAAAACAGGACCTTATTTGATACATGAAGAAGGAACTTCAAGCACACTGTGACACAGGAGTCACATTATAGCTTCAGTAACAATTCCTAACCAAAGCCAAGAGAGAAATTAAAATTAGATTCTAAAAAGTAATAGTTTAACTCAAAACAAAGTTTAAAAACAAATGGAACCACAGAAAGTGACACTGGGGTGGGAAACAGAACCACCAAAAAAAAAAGGGGGGCAAGATTAAAATTTAATATAGCCAAATGTATAATCACATTAAATGTTATAAAAAAAAAGACAACTAAAAACAGAGTTTATCAGACCAGAAAAAAAGGAAAGACCATGTCACGAAGGTGCACACAAGGGTCATATAACAGTAGAGTTACATTATAAGGAGAGGATTATTACAAGTTGTCCTTTGCGAGTTTGGAGCATAAAAGTGTGATCCGATGTCAGTCACAGGCAAGGGAGACCGTAAAGCAGGATAGCAGCGAGAGAAGAGATTCTATGGCATCTGTCTCCCCTGGGAAGTCCGTATTCCCACTCTTAAATGTTAACACCTCCTTTTCACACTCTACCTCTTCTCATCTTGAACTCTCTTCTGCAATGACATTGAGAACCCCAATTTCACTCAAATATAGGTGTGCTAGGGACACTAATGTGGAGCCATGTCTCTCATTTAATATTAGCTCCTTGGCACTCATGAAAGGTTGAAAGTTACTGATGAAAAGACAGAATGAAAAGGAAGGAAGGAAGGAAGGAAGGTGGGAGAGAGGCAGGGAAAAAAGAAGAAAAGAAAGGACAACAACAAAAAGGGGGAAAAAGTTACTAGTGAAGGAAAGTAATCTAGGAAACTCTGTTGTCTTTTATAAAATAAATATTGAAGTACATATTATTGCAAAAAAATAACTTTTGTCAAATCATTAACTATCATCTAACTCACTAGAAAAAGAGAATACAAACAACACACTGGAGAGTTTTGGGAAGCTGAATTTTTGGAGTTTTCAACATGTGATGGCTTAACAATTTTTAGAGCAGCTCAAAGCCAGTAATTAGGCTGTAAGCCAAATTCATTCACCATTAGGTTAAAAGGCTTGAGAGGTTGGTTGCAGAATTCTCATTGCTGGCAGTGTCAGAAATGTTGCTATGTAAATGTTTAGGATTATGACTGTTTTGCTGAACTTTCTGCACAGAAATTCGGCAGCACAGAAAGTAGCCCCAAGTGTCACCAGATGGGACTTCATAAAATTAAAAGGTTTCTATACAGCCAAGGAAACTAGCAGCAAAGCACACAAATAGCCCACAAAATGGGAGCAAATACCAGCTATAATCCAGATAGGAGTGCTAACATCCAGAATTTGCAAAGAACTACAGAAATTAGATTCCAAAGAAAGAAGCTGCCAATAAACAAATGCTAGTGAAAAGAACAGCTTTTAAAGGGATAAACACAAATGGCCAATAATTATTTCAAAAAGTTCTCAATATCCCTAGACATCAGGGAAATCCAAATTAAAACTATTTTGAGAAACTGCCTCACCTCAGTCAATAGCACATCTGACAACAAATATTGGAGAGGATGCTGGGAAAGAGGAACATTTGCTGCTGGTGGGAGTTCACAGTCTGACAGACATTTTGGATATCAGTTGGAAGGTTTCTCTCAGAATTAAAAATAGAACAACCATATGAACTACCTGCTTCTTCTCAGGGCCACCCAGAGACTTTCCTATCCTGCCAGAGAAATGTGCACCTCCATGTTTACTGCTTTATTTACAATATCAAGGAAATGGAACCAGCCTAGATGTCTGTCCACAGATTACAGGATAATGAAAATGTGATACATGCACAAAATATAATAGTATTCAGCTCTAAAAAAAAATGAAATTGGTAGGAAAATGGTCCCACTTGGAAAGTATATTAAGTTACCAAAAGTCAGAACGGGGGGGGGGGAAGGAAAGAAAATATATTCTCCCTCACATGCAAATACAGGTATAAACATGGGTATAACGTTAAATTTTGTAGAAAAAAAAGACCAAGAGAGGGAACTACTAGCTGATGAGGAAGGAGCGGATACAGGTAAAAGGACGCATGAGTCATGGGAGGGGATACAAAGCTAATTGCCTTTCTAATTTCCTCTCTGTCACAACTTTCTTTTCCTTTTTTGGCTACTTAAGTGTATAAACATATAATTGGTAGTAAAAGTAGGAAACCATCAGCTCAGCACCAGAATGGCCATTGTAACTGTATAAAAGTTCACCGAGATGTACAGTTTGGGACTGGATGAGTGTTCGAGCAGCTACTTTAGTAGTAGAGGATGTTTTATTTGTAAGTTTATCACAGTAAAGTGATTGATTTTGAAAACTGCTTGTGAATTTGAACTAATTGAATTAAAACTGAGTGTCTCAGCAAACTAATCGTAACGCATCTCAGTTTTTAAAAATGAAGCAGTTAAACTGGAAATGCTTTCTTCATTCCCACTAAGTACCCAATGTTCTTGTCCTTGGAGACATCACTTACAATGAAAAATGACAATAAACCTTGACAGGCAGCAGAGCATTTGCAATAGAGTTTGGTCACATAGGCATTCAATAAATAAGTGTGTACCTGTTGAAATAAATGAGTTTATTTTTTAAAAAATACTAAGCTCTACTTAAAAAAAAAAATCACAGCATGATGTTTGTCTATTCCACAAAAGTCAGAAGAAATATCTGGCGAAAAAGCAGTTTAAAACTCCCGCACAGAAATAAATCAATACCTTTGAAGTTATCAGGAGAAAGGCATATTTTGACTGCTTACAAAAGAACCATAGTGACTTCACTTAGTTTAAACATTGAGAAATCCTGAAGTAATTGGTGCTTTTAGAACTGAACCTGTGTATTACAAACTTTACGCTTTATTACCCCCAACACAAAGAGGTGACAATACTCCCTTTATGTCTTAAATTTATAGAAGGCACTTAAACAGGAGTGTTTGCTGAATTGGGGTAAGGAGAGTATCCTACAAGAAATATGCTGTTTCCATGAAAACAAACAAACAAACAAACAAAAAACCCAAAGCAACTGTAAGAGGAAACCAGTGCAAATAACTCCTCTATCATCTTTATTTTAGGTCAAGCCATTTGGAAGCAAGTTCCGGGATTTTGGAGTAGGACAAATAGTATCACCCACTGAGCTGACCAGAGTGGGAAATGCTAAGGTTTGCATTTTAAATATCCACAATTGCTTTTCCTTTATATGACCAGTGTTCCCTGACCCAGACCACAATTGGATGGGAGCCTGGGTTATAGAGTAGATTGGTACCAGCAGAGAGAGCAAGGCAAGTACGTTGATTTTAACTTTTCTAAGTGTAGCAGGTGGTTGAGGGAAATCTATTTCAATATTCGTTCAAATTGCTAAAGGTTTCTGGGATAAACAACATGGTTGCACTACTGAGCGGTGTAGAGATAGATAATCATCCCCAAGTTCAAAGGACTCCTGGTTTCCCCGAGTCTTAGCTCTTCAATCGGCACGAGAAGGAATTTAATCCGAGGGCTACTTCGTTAGTCCTCACATTAAACAGGCTTTCTGTAACTAATCTTTTCAAGACCCCTGAACTCAGCAACGAACACGACGGAGTGTTGCTCCTGCCGAGAGACATGTGCACGACAGATTCGGTAATTAGTTGTTGAGTGAACGACTCTTAAGATGAATATTCTAAAGCCTTTTTTCTCCAGATTGCAACTATACTAGAATGAGTCAAATGTGCTCAGGGTTAGTTACGTGGTTCCTCTCCTCCGGCATTACCAATCTTTCACTGGGAGTTTGAAAGCGCATTTAACCCCAGCTCTTTTCTGCCAATCCTCCCCTTTCCTCCATTCTTGTTTATCAGTAGCTTTTACAGTCTCTGGAAAGTTTTGTAATGTTTATTCCTTGGATTATTTTTATTACGAATTTGCTACTGCTGATAAAATGAAACCAATTGATATTTTATCCAGTCACAACAATGAGGTCTTTGTAAGTTTTAAGAGTTTACCCATAAAAATCTTGAATTTCTCTATGCAAACCATCTGTCAGCCATGCTCAGTGCAGCTGGCAGCTTGCCAGCTTTATTCCCGCGACACCGTCATCTACCAAGAGCTAAAGCACAGCGTTCAGTGGGCTTCCTGGCACAAATGGAAACAGTTTGCACAAGGATATGTTGAACTTTTTGCTGTGCTATTCATGAAGATCTTTAATCTGCTCAGGGAGGTATTTATGGCCTGCCTTTGTTTGTTTGTTTGTTTGCTTATTTTTTACTTTTTAAAATACTTTTTCCTAAATTTCATCAACAAAGGTGTCTACATCTATTGAAATATCCCGTTCTCATTTAACCATTGTTCTCTTGCCATACATTGAAAGAACATTTTAATGACTTCTTTTTTGAGAAAATACTGTTATTTTTATTGAAAACAAAAACCAAGTAATTTGAAAACAATTTCTTTAGGATTTTGCATTTATGTACATAAATATCTGTGTATGCACTTTTAATTGTATGGATTTCTCCTTGCTTCAGGATCAACTAGTTAAACGAGTTTGAACAAGTGAATTGGAAGGGCTACTGAGGAAACAACCCAGTTGGTGAAATGTTTGCTACATTAGCGTGAGGATCTGAGTTCAAATCTCCAGCAACCATGTGAAAAGCAGGGTATTGTGGTATGGACCTGTGGTCCCAGAGTTGGGAGGGTGGAGACGGGTAGATCCCTGGGCCTTCCAGGCTCAGTGCAGGTTCCTTGAAAGACCTTGTCTCAAAACAAAGAAGAGAGTGATTTAAGAAAACACCTTGTCCTCACACACACGTGTATGTGCATACATGCCCAGCTGCACACAAGCATGTGTACCCACACAAATATACATACACATGCGTGCAAAGTAAATTAGAGAGCTTCCCCATTTTCTTAGTCTCAAAGTTGTGAGCACGTGATCATAATTGTTAAAAACAAAAAGAATTTATCAAGTATTTATTTTGTGCCACACACTATTCTACTATGAATTAATTTAATCTGCAGGGAAATACTACAAAAAAAAAATCACTATCCTGTTAACACAAAATCACATCCCTCCCCTTAAAGGGACTAAGAGATAATTTCCTGTGGAGTGAAATCTGAATGACCATAGCCTGAAAACACAGATTTTCTTACCCCAAATGCTATCTATATTCCAACACAGAAGCAAGAGAACCAAGAAAGCTGCAAATCAACACTTATTAGTGGAAACATCAGAAAGATATCTACAGCAAGATGGGGAATCTCTCCTCTAGACCTCAGATGCTGTAGTTGACTTTCTGAGCTTTCAGGTTGATGGAAGCTAGTGATCTTGTAAGCTAATAGATCCCAAGAAGTTTCTGTCTATTAGTCACATAATGTTAATTGGACACAGAGGTGGGCAAAGAACAGCTGTTTGGAGGGAGTAACTCTAGTCTGAGGTAATTTGATCTGCAACATTCTAGCCTCTGCACATCATAGCATTCTAACTGGTCAGTCTTTGCTGACACAACTTATTTCCAGAATTCTCTTTGACAAAGCATAGTTTACATATTTAATAGTTAAGAGATATTAGGTAATTAGAATCACATTGTAAATCCCTGAGAAAAAAATATATCAGGAAAACTTTCATCTGACAATGCATGTCTAAAGAGTCCATAAGAAAGTGATAAGGAGGCTGGGTAGTGGTACAGAGCAGGCAGAGGAGGTGAATCTCTGAGTTCCAGGACAGCCTGATCTACAAAGTGAGTTCTAGGATAGCCAAGGCTACACAGAAAATAAACAGAACAAAAATAAAAAATAAAAAAGATGAAGCCAAAAGGAAAACCAAGAAATACATTGAATTGAATACAAATGAAACAACATATTGAAATCTATGAGCATATTAGCTATGACAGACAAAACTTATGACACCTGCTGCAAAAGATAGACTAATAGCTTCCATGTTAAGAAACTAGAACATTAAAAATAATAAACAAAACCCCACATATGCATCAAGCAGAAGAAAGGTAGAGAGAGAAAACATAAGAACAAAAATCAAGAAAATTGTCCAGCAGTGGTACTCAACCCCTTTCACAGGGGTTACATATCACATATCATGCATGTCAGATGCTTGCTTATAATTCATAACAGAAGCAAAATTACAGTTATGAAGTAGCAACAAAATAATTTTATGGTGGTGGGGTTGTCATCACAACACAAGGAACTGTACTAAAGAGTCTTAGCATTTGGAAGGTTGAGAACCACTGCTGTAGAGAAAAACAGTATCTGGGTATTGGTGTCCCATGCCTTTAATCCCAGCTCACTGTAGAAGATAAACTACTCAAGGCCAAGCCATGAGATACAGGTATAATTAACATAGCCATGGATGGCTACATTTGCAAAATACAGTGAGGACTGAGAAGTAGAATCTGAAGGTAAAATACACTATAAATGTTGCTTTCTTTCCTTAGTTGATTTTCTTTCACAGTATCCAGATGATACAGTAAAAACCTGAGATGTTTTTACTGACACTGTAGACTTGAACTTGAGTGGAAGTACAATAGTAATGACTGAACTAAGAGGTGGGTAATTGTTTATTTATCCACTCACTCAGTTTTTCTAATTTTCTCTTTTGCAGTGCTGCAGAGGGGACAGACGGCTGTGTAGATGCCAGGATGTCCTCCTATGACACTCCAGCCCCGCTTGTATCACAGGTGCCATGTTCTGTTTCCTCTTCTTTGTTTGAAATGAAGATGCTGAATTAGATCAGCAGCTTATCAACTGTTAGCTACAGAATATTTTCTGTGCTTTGTTTTGTTTTGTGCTGAACTAAAATCTCACAGATTGGGTACGCCAGATACAATGGTGGCACACAACCTTAATCCCAGCACTTAGGAGACACAGACAGGTGTATCCCTGTGAATTTGATCGAGTACCAGGACAGCCAGGGCTATACAGTGACTCAGAAACACACACACACACACACACACACACACACACACAGAGAGAGAGAGAGAGAGAGAGAGAGAGAGGGAGAGAGAGAGAAACAATAATCAACAAAAGGTATGCTGGCTTCTCTAAAGCAGTCAAAAGAACTGGTAAAGATCTAGCAAAGGAAACAAGACAAAAGACACCGGTTAGCAGGAATGATACTGAGTTATTAGTACACACTGTAAAATCAAGAGGGCAGCAAGGGGTGTAGTGAGAATGGTATTCAGAAATTTGTTATAAAGATCAATTGAAAAAATAATTTTCTTTTAAAAATCTCTTTTAAACATCTGCTGTAGGCACCTACAAACACCTGAGTTTTTGACAATCCAAATTTCTACGATGGAACAAAGAGAACATCTTCAACAAATGGTGCTGGCATAACTGTTGCTGGCATAACTGGATAAGGACATGTAGAAGACTACAGTTAGACCCAAGCCTTTCACCCTGCACAAATCTTAAGTCAAAATGGATCAAAGAACTCAACATAACCCCACCCACACTGAACCTATTAGAAGACAGATCCTGAAATACCCTTGAATTCATTGGTACAGGAGACCGATTCCTGAATATTACACCAGTAGCCTGATATCAACAATTGATAAATGGGACCTCCTGAAACTGAGAAGCTTCTGTAAGGCAAAGGACACAGTCAACAAGACAAAACCGCAGCTCACAGAATGGGAAAAGATATTCACGAACCCCACATCTGACAGAGGGCTGATTTCCAAAATATACAAAGAACTCAAGAAGCTAGTCACCAAAACACCAAAAAATCCAATTAAAAAGTGGGGTACAGAACTAAATAGACAATTCTCAATAGGGGAATCTAAAATGGCTGAAAAACACATAAGAAAATGTTCAACATCCTTAGCCATTAGGGAAATGCAAATCAAAACAACTCTGAGATACCATCTTACTCCTCAGAATGGCCAAAATCAAAAACATCAATGACAGTTTATGTTGGAGAGGACGTGGAGAAAGGGGAACACTTCTCCACTGCTGGTGGGAGTGCCACCTTGCACAGCCCCTTTGGAAATCAGTATGGCAATTCCTCAGGAAAATGGGAATGAGTCTACCACAAGATCCAGCAATTCCACTCCTAGGCATATACTCAAAAGAAGCACATTCAAACAACAAGAACATCTGTTCAACGATGTTCATAGCAGCAC